TACGTATTAATTATACAAGACATGAAAGAATTTCCTACATTATTTGAAGTTTGTCAGAACCGCCGTAGAGTCCTCGTAAGCCACCAACACGAACGTCTAACTAGAACCTGGAGGGGTGCAAACAGAAAACGTGAGTAGGCAAAAACAAAGCTTTTTGAAACCATTTCTCTTTCCAAAAATAATAACCCTTCACCATAAAACCCGTATAATTTCCCATAAAATAATAATACATAGTATATAGAAATCATGCTTGAGAGCAATGAAAACCAAAGTATATGCCATGTCAAGTATCTCAATAATAAATATGTAAGCCAGGTGATGTGCATCAATATAAAACGATATGTCAACCGAAGTCACCTAACGTGACCTGTACGGCTGAACCTATAACTCATAAACCAATTCATGCACACGAGTCGGAACCACCTAATGTGGTCTGTACGATAGGCTGAGTGTAAATAAGTACGTTCAAGTGCTACGATCATGTGAAGGCTGTGCGATGAATCGTGGGTCACCTACAAGTCGAAACCACCTAATGTGGTATGTACGACAGGCTGTCACCAAACTTGGATCCAAGAAGAGCGTGCAGTGCGGAAGGTGAACGATCACGTGAAGGTTGTGCCCTGGCCTTAAGCGGGAGCACTAACATTGGGGGTGCAAGATCATGAGCTCTAAATACATCTACGTATAACCATACACAATGCAACCACTATCATTATACAATACTCACCTAAAACTTACCTAGGCCTCTGCAACGTCATACAATATTATGCATACCCATGCTAATGCATATACTAAAATGAAATGCAAGTATGACATGGCACTTAAAAAAAAACATAATTCCATTTAGATTAGTTTCTAGGAAAATGTAAAACATATATGCGTATATATAGAAAACCAAAAGCCCACTCACTGGTATGTAGCAGGGTCATAACCCCGAGTCTTGCTTGGCTACTCTTGTCCTCTAGAAACGTTTCACCTATTTGTGAAACAACTAGTTTAACGTTAATTCAAAAGTACATAACCAAAACTATGTAATAATTTCTCATACATTACTCAATTGGGGTGTTTGAATATACCCATCGTGGCCTACTCAACACCACGAGCATCCTCATATTTTTAGAAAAATTTTCTAATGTCTCACGCCCCCTCACATGCTGGCCAAGGCGCAGCCACATACACATGCCTAGCATGTTGGACGGAAACCTTAACGGCGTTAGAGAATATTCCATTAAATAGAAGCATATTCTGTTAGATTTACTTGACACCGTTAGTATATTCCATCAAAGTTAACAGAATATTCTCTGTCTTCTCCGATGGTCTTCGCTGGAGCCACCGTCTGCAACGCCGGATTCTGGAAAATCTTAAAACCTTAGTTTCTACTTCGTTTTTCAACCAAATTTTACAAATCTTATATAGATTTGAAGCTCTCAACTAGGACAACATAATCTTACCTATTTGAAGACCTAAAACTTTCGGGAACTGGTTGGAAAATAGCTTAACATAACCAGCCAAAATTAGTATACCAACGTTCAAACCACTCCAAAACTAGTCTAAGATCCTTATAGAGTCAATTAGGACCCTTTCTTAGACTTAAAATCTCGCGAAATGTCCACGATCACGTCGGAGTCACAGAGGACCTCGCCGAAGCCTTTGGTTCTTCACGATTCCAACGTCTTTTCTTTGAACATAAGGTATGGTTAAGCTCGCGAGCTTGCAAGGAACTCGATGGTGGTCTTTAGAAGTTCGATATGTGAGGTTTTGGTTCAATTTAAGTGTGGTGCCTTCGGTTGTACAGACGAATAAGAGAATTCAAGAAAGATGGAGAAAGTGCAGGCTTGTACGTGTGTGTGTGTGTGTGTGTGTGTGTGTGTGTGTGTAATCTGTCACAGGTTGGCCAAAGAAAAATATTAAGGGTTCCCCATTGGGCAGCCATGTGAAGGAAAGAAGAGAGGGAGAGTCCAAGTGGCCCAAAATATAATTCCAACCCCAAATTTGATTGGGCTAAGGAATATAGGAATAATTGTGATTGGTTTAGGTTTTATTTTCCTATTTTGACCCAATTATATTCTAACGTTCGTAACTTTTTCGTTACGAACCCGATTCAGCCCTAATTCACGTCAACACGCTCGTGACGACACGTACAATTTAATCACATCAATGGGAAAATAATTTAAAACTATATACGTACATCCACGTCACTAAGCCTCAAGGGCATTACCATCACTTTACATACTCGAGAATAAATATATGCAATAATTTGGGACAGGTCGTCACAATTAACAATTTCTTTCCAACTCTTTTCGCTGTAAAGTAACATTCTATATTCACAACGTGTCTCAAACAAGAGAACTATACAAACAGAAAACGATTCATATATATATATATATATAATTGTTATTAGCACTCTAAAAATCTCACTCTACACTTCAAACTTTCTATATTAGGAAAGAAAAATACACTTGTAAGGAACGTATAATGAGATTTTTGGAGTGTCAATAACACTTCCATATATATATATATATATATATATATTAACGATATGTTCCCTATGGTGAAACAAAAAAAAGAAGTAATTAGAATCTCCTGCATTTTTTTCCAACTTTTTTAGAGAGAGAGAGAGAGTGTGTGTGTGTGTGTGTGTGTGTGTGTGTTTGCACCTAAAATGTGCCCATTCACACAAAATATGGCATTTGGAGGATGATTGTGCAAAAATGCTAACTTGGAAAGATATTTGGCTGCAAATGGGATAGTTTGATATTATAATAATGTTTTTCCCTATTGTTTGGGTGGTGAAGGTTTGCCAAGAGCTTTGTTTAAACAACAATTGCATGTTTTTCCAACGTAAGTGGATGGGAAAGCACAAACATTCTGAAAGAAGATACATTGTGAAAGAGGCTAACTTGCTTCTTTTAATTAATAGTTTATTGCAAGTAGTGAAAACCTATGGTGGAAATGCAAGTTTCCCTTTTAATATTATTTCACAATGCAAGCTGGCCAAGCTTCTTTTAGGCAAGTTCATTGCTCTCAGTGATAGGATTAAAAGCACACCACAAAGTAGCACACAAATGTCCTATTGATTTTCCTTATTAACACTAAGATTTGTCAATTGTAGCATATGAAAATAAGGGTCTTTCCCGCAGAAGATTGTTTTATCTAACTACTTAAAATGTCACAAAAACTGGGTTGCTGTCCCTGCTGACCAGCTACCGAAAAATAATTATTAGACTGACTTAACTTATCTAAAGTTTACGAAATTTTATATGCAGATACTAGACACACAAAACTACACTCACACAAATTTTTGAGATTTTTGGAGTTAATGTGCCATTTAAATTAAATCGAACCAAAACAGAATAGAAACAGATTTTAAGTAGTTCACAAATTAAGAAAAACGAGTTAGGAGAATTGCTATCCACCACCAAATAATCATGCAAACATGTTATGTTTCATTCAAATTCCTTTTATTTCCGGATGAAGATGCTAAAGTTGGCTCAATGTTAGAACTCAACCTATTACTCTTTCTTATGTAGTATGTTATGAGAATGGCGTTTTCAACTTAACTTAGTCCTTAGCATGCAATCTAGAATGGCGTGTTCATAGATTTAACAAGTAGAAATCATTAAGAACGAAAAGAGTTTGAGTCATCACAAGGCATCGTAAGTACTAGCGTTCTCTTACTTATCCTAGAAATTGGTTCACATGTTAATCGCAATTAACAAGTACTACTCTAGAACATATGTAGGTCCTCATTCGACAAGGGCAAACACACACATATTCATAGCATTAGAATCCTAGATATGCTTACTAAGTATGCATCCGTAGAAAACACATAAAGAATTCATCAATGAGACAAGTAGTGAACTAATTTTCATCCATTCATAAAAGTAATTCAAACGAAATGGCATAACAAACTTGCAATCATATTCGGGGCTTCAAAACAGCCCCTAACTACTAAAAATTTAGTAACACATAATCCTTAAGTTAAAACAAAAGATAGACATGAGTTTGAGAAGATAGAAACGAAAGAAATCGACTGAGGCCTCATCCTCTTTCCTTCCTTCCCCAACGCTGCTTTTAAACCAATTCTTGCTACATCATTTTCTTCTCCTTAACTCACCCACCAATAGCCATTTAGTGATGACAATAAGTGAGAGGAAATGGTAAAACAATTGTAACTTTTTGGGTAGCCTTTATGTCAATTACTCCCTCTTAATCCTCATCTTTAATTCCATTCCCTTTTACATTTGAATAAGTGTCAGCTGACTTGTTCTTGGCTACATCAGTTTTGGCTGCTAGATTTATTGGGTTTATGATTTCATTGCAGTTACAAATTGCTCAGCCTCTTGGTCACCTTTCAGTGTTAAAATGGCCATAACTTCTTCTAGAAAATGATGTTATCAATCCGTGAAATGCTCCAAAAAATAGACATCCATAGCTTTCCAAGTATATAAGGCTCATTCTCTAACTCATTCTGAGCTGTTCGCAACTTCCTTCCAAAGTCAGCTGATCTGCACATGCAGTTTTGACGAATTTGTTACTTAAAATCCCACTTGTGCTATTTTTCTTTTCTTTGCATGACAAATCCCACAAAACACAAAAACAAAGTAAATAACTCAAAAATATAAGGAACTAACTAAGAAAAGACAAGTGAATTTGATCTAAAATATATGTAAATATGAGCTTATCACTCAGCAAATGGGCTCTTTCAGATCTCTATATAAAGAAACAGAGGCAGAAGGATTATGGACACTCAAACAACCAATCAATCAACTCTACTCAAATCAGCTCATCAATCTCCTTGTAGACATTTAGCTTTAGCTAAACATCCTTTACTTTCCTTGTTTATTAGCTCTACTGCTCACACTGTAGTATCGATCTCCTTTGTATTTTCTGCACAACTCATTTCCAGTCATTTAGTTTAAAAGCAATCTACAATACCAGTCATTTACTTTCCTCTATCATTCACACTTCCAGCAACCTTGTTATTTAGTTGTTGTTACATTTCTCCATATAAGTAAAGTCCTTATCTTTAAGGCAAAGAAAGAACATTGATTTGAGCTACTCCCACTCAATGGCACAATCTCTTGGTTTAAAGTCAAACTTAGGCACAACCACAATCATTCAAATCCCATCTACTAACAGCATCTAGTAGTGGCACGCTCACACCCACCAATTTCATGTTTGAGTAAATTCCCGGCATGCCCGCGTGGCTCATGACGAATTTAGGGAGCGAACAGAGAGAGAGGTTTACATTCCGGTAATATGGCAGACAGTGGAGGAGCAATTACAGTTGATGGCATTCTCAAATCCTTTGGGTGAGCTTGAATTAGTCCATGGAAGTTGGCCGCTGCATGGATCTGCGTCTCCACTGAAATCCCAGCCCTTCTAGTTCTTCCCCAGTGTTTTTGCTATGGCTTTCAAAGTTTGCACTGCATATACGCAAAATAAAAGGCAACAAATTAACATCGTGCTCAACAAAATAGTAAAAAAAAAAATTTGATGCATAGACAAGAACTACAGAGTGCACCTCAGCATCATATGATTGAAAATTTCTACTAAGTTCAAGCAAATATCTGTTTACTTAAGGTTCATTTGATAACTGTTTGAATTTTTAATTTTTAATTTTAGTTCATTGGTAACTGTTTTCACTTCTTGGAAAAATGTAAACTTAAAACCAAAATCACCCCAAGCCAAATTTTGAAAACTCAAAAAAAATTGAAAACTAAAAGATTATCAAGCGAACTTAAAACTATCATTTATAGAATGAAACAAGGGAAACTAAGGAAGATATTTGACATAGGGATATTGAGGTGAATTACTCGTACCTTCATCGTTTGGCAATCGAGCAGCTCCAAAGGCAAAAGTTATAAAGCAAGCAACAAAGAACAGAGAATGAGGAAGAAGTCGAGGGAAGAACATATTCATCATTTTTCTAGGCAAAGTCTTTCACATTTGAAGAGAAAACCAGAGACAAGAGGATCAGTTTGTGCAGCTAGCTGGATGGAATATGTTGAGAGGTTATGGAATTTGTTGGATATGAAAATTTGTGAGTGGCGAAGAAAGAAAGATTTATGAGGAGAATGAGTCTGAATTACGGCTCTTTATTCGCTTGAGGGGAGGGAAGGAGTGGACCTTGAAGGACACAAACGGAAGTCAATGACTTGTGTTACCTTACGAACCCGGATCTCTCTGGATCTCAATATTCTAAGCCTAGGGATCAAATCTTCTCCTTCTTCTTTGAACTCAGCCACCGACAACAATCTCTATATTCACAGACGACATTGATCAATTTTTAATTTCAGGTCATTTTGATGCGTTTGTCAATTTCATGGACCATCTGTGATAAAAATATGAATTTGACTACAATATTTACATGTATTTAATATATCAACATCTTTAGGATATAATTTGGCCACCTATTTAAATGTTAATTATGTAGAATGCCTAAGTGACGAACTTATTAGAAAAGAAATCCATATTTGTGTCTCAAATTTATCTATTAGCTTAACTGTGTTGTTCATGTCAAGTTTCTAAGAAATAAATTGTGTCCAACACCATCTGAAAACGAAAAAAATAACCCTTTTTCTGTTTTGAGAATATATATATATATATATATATTATTTATTACAATTGATCTTATTACTAATAATCTAAGTTACAAAATAAAGATCGGAGCGTTTAAACCGGCAACACAATAAATCAAAGAAAAAAGGCATATTCTTCAGACAATCCAACACTTACATAAAGATATAAAAGAAATCAAAAGGAAAAACTTCAAAAAAAAAAAAAAAAAAAACCATGCATGAAATTAAGTGCACGTCTATATTAAGCAAACAAACTGCACAGAGTGACAGACGGCAAAATAAATGTAGTTCGAAATTAATCTTACTCGACTTGAACTTCTTCACTAACACTCAATCAAAAGCAAAGGTTGGTTGGAATTTGACCTGTTTGACTAGTGGTATCGTGGCCCATTTCTGGGCTTATTTGGATCGGTGTGCTATGGTCCATTACTGGGCTGCATGCTGGCTTGCATGAATTGATGTCGTGGCCCACTTCTCTTGAAACTCAGCCTGAATTATTGCTGAAATCTAAATCTGCCATCTCAGTCTCTCCAAAACTGTTGTTGGGCCCAGATCCATCAGATGGGCTGCCTGAGCTGTCCCGTTCAAGTGGGACATCAAACCCACCGTATTCTTCATTTGCACTACGCAACTCCCCCTGAATATTAGAGTGGGTTTGATTAGTGATGACGAACATCTCTGTTTCAAAAAACGTGACATCCATGGTGACATAAAATTGCTTATGGGTGGATGGTAGTTGGCTATTAAACCCTAAAAAGACACAACGAACGGCACACGGATTCAATTTACTTTGTTGATTCTTGTGAAGATACACTTAGGCCACGCACCCAAATATGCGAGGTGATAATTGAAGAGAGGATGGTAAAGTAATTAAGACTTCCATGGGAGTTCAAAAAAGTCTTGAACTCAAGTAGGCATTCGATTAAGGAGATAAACGAAATACGTAACTGCATCTGCCCAATAAGTAGAAGGGGCATGAGCCCTAACGAGAAGAGCTCGTGTAGTCTCCAAGATATGTCTGTTCTTGCGTTCTTCCACACCGTTTTGTTGATGAGTTTGAGGACAAGTAGTCTCATGAAGTATGTTGTGCGTTGCGAAAAATTGTGGTAGCTCCAAATTAAGATATTCTCCACCATTATCATTTCAAAGAACTTTGATAGGACAAAAGAGAAATTTGACTTCCAATCATGCAATAAAACAGTTGAAAGATTTGTTCAACATCACTCTTTTGTTTCATAATATACAACCAAGTCATTCCGATGCAATCATCAACAAACGTAACATACTAACGAATACCATGGTGAGTTGCTATTGGTGAAGGCCCCAAACATCTGAATGAATTAACTCAAAAGGCACTATTCTTTTATTGAAACTCAAATGATAAGAAGTACGATGATTTTTTGCAAGAATGCAATCATTATATTGAAAATCAGAGTTTGAAACGCCATTAAATAAAGACAAAAGTAATTTTTTTTTTAAATAACAAAGGATGCATGTCCTAATTGACGATGTCATAGCCAAATTTGCTTGATATTGTTATTGTGACCACGGCAAACTTGGTTGACTCGGCCCATTACCACTTCATCCACATAATATAACCCTCTCCTCTTAGTACCACTCCCAATGATCGTGGTACAAGAGGTCCTATAAAATAGGAAATAAGAATCCCAATTATACAAGGAATCAATCATATGATCACATTCCCAAACTATATGGTTGATTCACGTCAACAAATAGTTATAAAGGAAATATAAATGATTAATTAGCTGATATGTTTAAGTGTGCTAAGGTTGAGTGAAACTGATAACCGTGTAGCTCAAGTTCTCTCGCTTCTGTTCTCCTAGTAATCTGAATCAGGATTGACGGGATACAAATCGTGAGCAGACGCAGACGAAGCAGTCCATGGCCCTTCAGTTGACCCCATTTCTATCTGTTTCTCGCCCGTGCCCCTTCCAAAACCAAATTGAAAATGTTTCCTCATTGCATCAATCTTAATACTCTCGACATTTGGATTCGAGACCGACTCATGAACAACAGTCTTTCCTTCGAGCATGCTCACAACCGAAGACATGGTAGGCCTAGCTGTCGAAGTAACGTTGCAACAAAGGAGAGCCACATTGATTGCAACAATCATCTCCTCTTTATTAAAGTCTGATCCCAACCTTGGATCAACTAGGTCCATCAAATTCCCCTGATCTTTTAGAAGTTGTGCCTACAAAAAATGGAAGTAACAAAAACAATATAAATTCTGTCTTTGGATTAAACTTCATCGATTCAAATGTACTTTCACACATATAAGGCATATTAAGAAAATTTGAAGTTAAATTAGGAAGTAGTAGATTCATGTTACCCAATCAAGAAGATAAAAGCTTTCTTCCTTTTTCTGGTAAGTTGTGTTGTTTCTCCCACTAACAATTTCCAATACAAGAATACCAAAACTATAGACATCTGCTTTATCAGTCAGATAACCCCGCATTGCATATTCGGGCGCCATATATCCACTGCAATATCATGAAATCATATCATTAACCCATATTGAGCTAAAATAATTAGTAAAAATATTGCTAATTGAATACTTCCAATAGTTAGAGAGATAATCAGTAATACAACTATATTGAAAGAACATATCTGCCCTTCAAATTTCTTGAACAACAAGGATTTGGTTAGGTTGAAAATTATGTAAGTTGGAGACTTTCCTTTTGCTCTATCTTCTTTTTTCAGGGTGGAAAAAGATTAAAACAAGAGAATAAGAAGATAAATAAAAGTGTAGGGACTCACTAAGTTCCAGCAATATGAGTGCTAATGTGTGTATTATCCTCTTCATCAAGTTTGGCCAATCCAAAGTCAGATATTTTCGGGTTAAGATTTTTATCAAGCAGAACATTAGTAGCCTTGATGTCTCTATGAACGACCTTCAATCTTGATTCCTCATGAAGATAAGCCAAACCTCTTGTTGTACCAATGCAAATCTTGTGTCTTGTTGACCAATCCAACTTCAAATGACTTTCTTTTTCCCCTTCAATTTGCCAAATTAAACAATGTTAGTTGTAAAGGACATATTTTTAGTGCATAAGATCTTTTATGCCCACTGTATGAATGAAATGAACTTTTGGCAAACGAGATTGATATTTACTGAACAAAGCATGACCGACACTATTATTTTCCAGGTACTCATAGACAAGCAATAGTTGATTTCCTTCAATACAACATCCGTGGAGCTTGACAAGATGAGGGTGTTGCAAAGCAGAAATCATGCCAATCTCATTAACAAATTCACGATTTCCTTGCTTTGATTTGGAAGACAGCTGCTTAACAGCTATTACGGTTCCATTAGCTAGAACGCCCTACATTTGAGAAAGATAGTCAAACTCTCATCACTATATGGAGCAAATTAACTTTCATTAGAACGGACAGTATCAAAGTAGAAAAAAAAAATGTAATAAATAAATAAATATTGGCTCCGAAGAATACCTTATAAACAGAACCAAAACCACCTTCACCAATCTTATTGGCTTTGTCAAAGTTGTTTGTGGCATCTTTGAGTTGCTTGAAGGTAAATTTACCAGTTTGCAGGTCCACACCCTTCAAATCTGTATAACAAGTAAAACTCATAAGAAATTGTGTCGAAGAAAACTTTGAGAACAATAGCATTCTTAGTTTTTAATATTTTGTGCATGATTCTAGAATTTAACTAGTAATTGGATCCATAGGTAGACACTCTGCATCATGAGTCTGGACTATAAATATATTATAGCAACATCAAAGTGCCAGAAAGCTCAATATCTAAATAATTATTGTCTTTGTGTATGCACGTCAATGTGCAAGAGAACCATGCAAAAAATAGCACAAATATTGTTCTTAGTCACGAAAAAAAGTTCGATAAGAAAAAGTAATGGAGAAACAAAAAGGAAAAACCAGTACAACAGAATAAACTGCAAATTAATACCATCCTCCAATGTCTTTTTTTGTCCTAGGAGGCCTTTCTTCCAAAGAATACCAAATATCAGTAGTACAATGAAGACTCCTCCAACCACAATTCCAACCACGGCACCTACAGGCATAGAAAATTATGTCGGGGGAACAAAGTCTGCCAGAAGAAAGAGTAGCTTAAATTAGAATAAATGTAAATGTAATTGATATGAGAGTGGATTATTCAACCAACTATCTAATGCACACAGAAACAGAAGATTGAACCCGATCTTTGAGGCAATGTAAATAAGTAGATAGTATATGAAGTAATCCCTCGAACAAACTTTCTTTGGATGGTTGTAAATTTTTAATGTTTCCTCAAGTGAAATGGTTAGTTTCCATGTAAATATTAAAAATCCTTGAAGTTGAATTTTGTTGTATTTAAAGGCGTCAACATGTTACCAATAAAAAAAAAACAACATATTATGCGATAAAAAAATTTAAGAGAGTATTTCTTCAAGTCTTGTCTCAAACTACGTGGAGTGAAACACGAAAAACACAGAAGCATTATCTATTCTAAAGTTGGAGCGGGATTGGCATGTTCATGGCTACAGTCAAGAAAATGCCCCTTGATTTCACCTTATTTGCAAGAAAGCCATCTGATTTGGGGCTGCGTTGGAGGGTAATTAGGAAAAGATAGGAGGGTAATTTTGTCTCTCTAAAAAAACCTATGAAAAGATAGAGAGAGCCGTCAGCTTGCAGAGGG